GCAGCGATAAGATTCTGCGCTGGAATGTTCTCGGCCTTCAAGGAGCCGTCCTGTCACATTTCATCGAGCCCGTCTACCTCGGCTCCGTCACTCTCGGTACGATACCCTCAACATTTTATCTCCCTTCCATCCTTTTTTTTTTTTTTTTTTTTTTTTTTTTTTTTCTTTTATTTTTATTAATAATTTTTATATTTTTTATTTTTAATTTATTTATTTATTTTTTTATTTTATTTTAATTTTTTTTTTTTTTTTTTTTTGTCCCCCACACACCGATGCTAACAAAGTCCTTGTCCATATTCTCACCTGGTTGAGCAAAAGCTCAATTTTTTTTATTTTTTTTTTAAATTTCCTGATTCCCTCTCCAACCACCAAGTCTTTTTGTCCTCCACTCTGACGTGTGATTTGTCCTCCAGGTTACCTGTTCAGCAAGGGACACCTCACTCGAGCGATCTGCTGCCGGATGTCGCGGGACGGAGAGGCTTTCCAGAAACAGTTGCCAGACCTCTACATCGTCAACCATCCAGAGGTCAGAGTCCTGGGGTTCAAGTGGCACCATAACGGTTTCGGGTTTAGTTTCAGAAACGGTCGTTTTTTTTTTACGAGATATGGGGCGGGTTCACACTGCGTGCGTTTTTGTTTTTTTTTTTTTTTTTTTTTTTTTTTTTTTTTTTTTTTTTTTTCTGCATCCAAAACTAACAGAAAGTAGGTTACATGGTTGTCAATGGCATAGTTCACACCAGTGCTTCAAGTTCCAGAAAAAGAAAAGCACTTGCTACATTTTTTCTGCACAGAACTGTACTGGAACATGGTAAAAGGCATCAAATAACGAACTGGGATGCGGTGCGACGCGTCAAATAACGAACTGGGACGCGGTGCGACGCATCAAATAACGAACTGGGACGCGGTGCGACGCGTCAAATAACGAACTAGGACGCGGTACGACGCGTCAAATAACGAACTAGGACGCGGTGCGACGCGTCAAATAACGAACTGGGACGCGGTGCGACGCGTCAAATAACGAACTGGGACGCGGTGCGACGCGTCAAATAACGAAGTGGGATGCGGTAAACACGTCAAAACGAGCCCGGACGCGGTACGACGCGTCAAAAGCGAGCCGGGATGCAGCACGACACGTCAAAAACGAGCCGGGATGCGGCACGACGAATCAAAAGCGAGCGAGGACGCGGTACGACGTGTCGTGTCAAAAAACAAGCCGGGATGCGGTACGAGGCGTCAAAAATGAGCCAGGACGCGGTACGACGCATCAAAAGCGAGTCGGGATGCGGCACGACGCGTCAAAAATGAGCCGGGGCGCGGTACGATGCGTCAAAAACGAGCCGGGATGCGGTACGACGCGTCAAAAACGAGCCGGGACGCGGTACGACGCATCAAAAGCGAGCCGGGGCGCGGTACGACGCATCGGAAAAAAGCAATTTGGGGGTGCGGTACGGCGCGCCGAAAAGCGAGCCGGGACGTGGTAGGACGCGTCGAAAAGCGATCCGGGATGCGGACTCGAGGGGTTCGCCGGCGATTGGGACGGGAGCGCGCTCAAGAAAGGGTTCGCCCCGCGATTGGGACGGGAGCGCGCTCAAGAAAGGGTTCGCCCCGCGATTGGGACGGGAGCGCGCTCAAGAAAGGGTTCGCCCGGCGATTGGGACGGGAGCGCGCTCAAAGGGTTCGCCCCGCGATTGGATGGGAGCGCGCTCATGGTGGCTGAGCAAACTACCCAATCCAGGCATGTGTCTGCACAGTATCCGGTACCTCTGAATGGCCAGCCAAAGGATAACTGACCACGCTAACATGGATCAGCTTCTGTACTTAGTGTGGTCAGTTTAGAACAAGGAAGGATGGTGACTGGCAGGATCAACCCGGTACTTCAGATGGAAGAAGCACATGACAGTGATGGAAGCGAAGACTTTCAGAATACACATCTGTGAACGCACAATATTTAGGGTGTCATAAACCTTCAGAATTCTCTGTTCCGTTCACCGACCACGTTTTCACCCCTCCAGGTCGGCCGTGTCAGCGTCTACGACTCCCACCGGCAGACCGGGAAGACGAAGGAGTCCAGCGTGAACTGGTGTCTGGCTGACGAAGAGGTCGAAGTTTTGGACGGAACAAAAGGAAAAGTCGAAGGGTAAGTGATGAAGTGAGGGGTCGTCCACAAAAGCCGAATGTGTGGTCAGTTCTCTACCAAAAACGATCAGCCGCTCAGTGGGTCCGCCCATTACGGACCGGTCTCCTCTAGTACCAGCTTTCGATGACATCACGAGGCTTTGATGACATCACGAGGAGCGTTTGGTCTGCAGGTGAACATTTATCCCGGAGGATTCCTTCCACCGCTGGCCCTCGGTTACTGCCCCCCCTCTGCTCAGGTCGATTATGATGCATACCGAACGCTGATTTTTACCCCCCCCCCCCCCCATATGCAAATGTGGTATGAATCTGAGTAAAGAATACTGTTTAACATCGCAGAGGTCGGTGCGCGCTTTAACCGCCTCCCACCTGCCATATAAGGTAATGACGGGCGCACTTTAACCGCCTCCCACCTGCCATATAAGGTAATGACGGGCGCGCTTTAACCGCCTCCCACCTGCCATATAAGGTAATGACGGGCGCTTCTCTCGTTCTGGGAAGATGTCACATGACGTCCTGCCATTCTAACTGCACGGTGATTGGCGGTGCGCTGGGTCCCTCGGACACAGCGGTTCACCAATCAACAGAAAGAGCCGAAGACGCCGGCTCAGTCATGTGATCAGCTGTGTCCAATCACAGCTGATCGCATGTAAATAGGGAAATGCCGGTTATCAGCATTTCTCTCCCCACGAGCTGTCACGCTGACAGAGGAGAGGAGCGGAGAGCCGGTAATCAGCCTTCTTCAGAGGGGACATGTGCAGTGTCAGCATGCCCTGATGTTCAGTGTAGCCCCATCAGTGCCACCTGTCAGTGCCACATCAATGCTACATATCAGTGCCCATCTGAGCTGCTGCCTATCGGTGTCAGTGCCGCCTATCGGTGTCAGTCAGTACCGCCTCCTATCCGTGTCATTGCTGCATATCAGTGTCAGTCAGTGCCGCCTCCTATCCGTGTCAGTGCTGCCTATCAGTGTCAGTGCTGCCTATCAGTGTCAGTGCTGCCTATCAGTGTCAGTGCTGCCTATCAGTGTCAGTCAGTGCCGCCTCCTATCAGTGTCAGTGCCGCCTCCTATCAGTGTCAGTGCCGCCTCCTATCAGTGTCAGTGCCGCCTCCTATCAGTGTCAGTGCCGCCTCCTATCAGTGTCAGTCAGTGCCGCCTCCTATCAGTGTCAGTCAGTGCCGCCTCCTATCAGTGTCAGTCAGTGCCGCCTCCTATCAGTGTCAGTCAGTGCCGCCTCCTATCAGTGTCAGTGCCGTCTATCAGTGCCACATCAATGCTACATATCAGTGCCCATCTGAGCCGCCTCCTATCAGTGTCAGTCAGTGCCGCCTCGGTGCCATATAATTGATGCCTGTCAGTGCCCATCAGTGCAGCCTCATTAGCGCACATCAGTAAAAATGATTCCTTTACAAAATTTTATAACAAAAAACTAAAACTTTTTTTTTTTATGTTCAAAATTTTCAGTTTTTTGGTTTGTTTAGCAAAAAATAAAAATAAAAAACCCCAGGGGTGATTAAATACCACCAAAAGAAAGCTCTGTCTAAAAAAAAAAAAAAAAAAAAAAATTTCATATGGGTACAGTGTTGCACGACGGCGCAATTGTCATTCAAAGTGCGACAGCACTGAAAGCTAAAAATTGACCTGGGCAGGAAGGGGGTAGAAGTGCCCGGTGGGCAGGAAGGGGGTAGAAGTGCCCGGTGGGCAGGAAGGGGGTAGAAGTGCCCGGTGGGCAGGAAGGGGGTAGAAGTGCCCGGTGGGCAGGAAGGGGGTAGAAGTGTCCTGTGGGCAGGAAGGGGGGTAGAAGTGCCCGGTAGGCAGGAAGGGGGTAGAAGTGTCCTGTAGGCAGGAAGGGGGTAGAAGTGCCCGGTAGGCGGGAAGGGGGTAGAAGTGTCCTGTAGGCGGGAAGGGGGTAGAAGTGCCCTGTAGGCAGGAAGGGGGTAGAAGTGCCCGGTAGGCAGGAAGGGGGTAGAAGTGTCCTGTAGGCAGGAAGGGGGTAGAAGTGTCCTGTAGGCAGGAAGGGGGTAGAAGTGCCCTGTAGGCAGGAGGGGGGTAGAAGTGCCCTGTGGGCAGGAAGGGGGTAGAAGTGCCCTGTAGGCGGGAAGGGGGTAGAAGTGCCCTGTAGGCGGGAAGGGGGTAGAAGTGTCCTGTAGGCGGGAAGGGGGTAGAAGTGTCCGGTGGGCGGGAAGGGGGTAGAAGTGTCCTGTAGGTGGGAAGGGGGTAGAAGTGCCCGGTAGGCGGGGAGGGGGTAGAAGTGCCCGGTAGGCGGGGAGGGGGTAGAAGTGCCCGGTAGGCGGGGAGGGGGTAGAAGTGCCCGGTAGGCGGGGAGGGGGTAGAAGCGCCCGGTAGGCGGGGGCGGGGAGGGGGTGGCAGCGCCCGGCGGGCGGGGAGGGGGTGGCAGCGCCCGGTAGGCGGGGAGTTAATCTTTCACGGTCGACTCTCTGCCACCTACAGTACTCGTCTCTCAAGGACTTCCATTGATGCGATTATGTTCCAGACCGTCTCGCCCGCCAGCCGCTGATAAGCCGTACGAAGGACTTCCCGTCCCGATATCCACAATGGAACAATCGAGAAAACATTTGCAAACGCTGTAATCCTCGCATTCGTTCATCGAAGGACACGGCCATTCTTCCTGACAGGAGGGGGTTGACGTCGCCACCTTCAGGAGCAGGGCACTAAGTGCAACTAAAACTGCAAGCGCACCGCCAATACCTGACCACCCACCAAACTGCGGCAAGGGGTTGCGGTCAAAAAATTGCTGCACCTTTAGGCTGGCCATACACTAGACAATTTTCTGTCCAAATTCTGCCCAATTTCCTTTGGATTTACGAGGGCCCGCCTGATTGGATACAACTGAAAGTGTTGTTCAGGTTTGACCTGATATTATATGGTTTTTGGTAAATCTAAAACAAAAATCTCAAGAAAATTGTATAGTGTGTGGACCCGCCCTGCTTTGGGACACCCATCGGGAAGAATGGTCGTTTCCTTCAATAAACGGAAGAGAACGGGGTTTCTGTGCGCAAAATTTCTTTTTCTGTGAGTCCATTGAAGGACGCAGCACCCGCCCAGTCTTCTTTATGGCTGCATCTACTACTGGGTACCATCTGAACTCCTGGCTGCAGATGGGGGAGGAGCTTTTAGTTTGGTTGCACCTAGCGCCTTGCTCCTGTAGGTGGCGACATCAAACCCATCCATCATGAAGTATGGCGGCGTCCTTCAGTGAACTTGGAGAAAAGGATTTTATGGCGAGTACAAAATTCCTGTTTTTTTCCCTCATTTCCTTTAACCGCTCGGCGCCGGCCGCGCGCATATGTGCGGCCCTGTTTAACCCCTTCACGCCGGCGCCTCCCGGCCCTTTCGGAAGCCGGGAGGAGGGGCGGGGTTTAGGGTCATGTGACCATGTCACATGAGCGGGAAAGGTCCCGATCGAAAGAGGAGATTGGGACTTTTCCGTGAGTACAGGACGTGCGTGCTGGGGACGCTCTCGGCACATATGTCGTTTTTTTATTAGAACGCAAATGTGCGGCCGCTTGGCGTCTAGGCTCAGGCGCCGGTAGGCCGCACATTTGCGTGAAGAGGTTAAAAACTTGCTGTGCTGAGAGCGCGCTCCCAGCATGGAAGGTGGTGGTGATCGGTAAGCGATCTTGTGACCGCCAATCACAGCGGTCACATGACCCGAAGGCCTGCCTCTGCCTCCCGGCATTAATTGGTTTGCGTGAAGGTTATAGCGTTTACAAATGGCGGTATGGATACTGGAATTTTTTTTTTTCAACTGTTAATGGCGGCGGGCATTCTGACACGGTGGGGAGGAACTGATTTGGTGTCACTGACATCCTCAGTGACACCAATACAGTGATCAGTGCTAAAAAAAAAAAAAAAAAGCCCTGACACTGTACTAATGGCACTGGTCAGGAAGGGGTTAACATGAGGGGCGATCAAAGGGTTAAACGTGTGCAGGGAGTGTTTTACTAGGGGGTGGGGTCTGTGTGCTTCACTGTAATCGCACTGCTCTGGATGGCTGTGCTTTGCAGTGTGCCCGAGCCGACAGGGAGGACGACTATTAGTAAACAAAACAGTCTTCCTCCCCGTTGGTGATCATCGGAAATCACCGGTTGCCGGCAAGTAATTACCGGCCAGGACCCGGTGATTGACGGGTGCAGGTAGGGCGCGTGCGCGGCTCGCGCGCCCCCTACCCGGAAGTGCCAAACCATGTGTGTGTATATATACGTGATATTGCGCACCCCGTGCCGCCCTGTAGCAATATTTCTCCTATAGGGCGGTCGGGAAGCGGTTAACCTCTTGCCGTCCGCCTGCTGTTGATAAACGGCAGGGCGGTGGCACTCCAGGGGCGGGTTGCCGTTCATAAACGGCACCCGCCTTTTCTAGCTGTGCGCTCTCCCTGGGAGCGCGCGCAGCACCGCAATCCGGTGCCCGCTGTGTCCTCCGGACACAGTGAAACACGATCGTCGGACGGGACCTCTGTACGAGGTCCCGATCATGTGATCACTGATTGGCCAATCAGTGATCACATGCAAAGTAGTAAGCGAGATGTCACTTGTGACATCATTGCTTACTACGTGTGAAATCTGTGAATGATCACAGAGGTCACATGGTACAAGGCTATTCACAACAGCCTTGTACCATGTGACAAGCTGTGACCAATCACAGCTCACTCAGTACTTCTCAATGACTGCAAGAATGCAGACAGAGAGAAAGAGAAATGATTGCTTTTACATCCTATATGGGTGTAAAAGCAATCTGTGTAAAAAAAAAAAAAAAAAAATTTCATCACCCCCCACAAGTAGTACAGTGTCACCATGGTGACCTGTACTGCTAGGGTGACAGTATGTAAAAAAATAAAAATAATATAAAAAAAAGTAAAATAAAAATGTAAAAAAAAAAATGTTTAAAAAATTATAATTTTTGGTTATAAACTAATTTGGATTTTTTTTTTTTTTACTAAAAAAATAACGGAATACATTTTGGCCAAGATTTATGATGAAATATTATTTATTTGCAAAATTTTATAAAAAAAAAAACAAAACTTTTTTTCAAAATTTTTGGACTTTTTCATTTACATAGTAAAAAAAATAAAAATCCCAGCGGTGAATAAATACCACCAAAATAAAGCTTTATCTGTCTCAAAAAAAAATGCTAAAAAATTCATATGGGTGCAGTGTTGCATGACCGCGCAATTGTCATTCAAAGTGTGATAGCGCTGAAAGCTGAAAATTGGCCTGGACAGGGAGGGGGGGAAAGCGTCGGGACCGGAAGGGGGGGGAAAGCGTCGGGACCGGAAGGGGGGGGAAAGCGTCGGGACCGGAAGGGGGGGGAAAGCGTCGGGACCGGAAGGGGGGGGGGAAAGCGTCGGGACCGGAAGGGGGGGGAAAGCGTCGGGACCGGAAGGGGGGGGAAAGCGTCGGGACCGGAAGGGGGGGAGAGCGTCGGGACCGGAAGGGGGGAAAGTGTCCGGACTGGAAGGGAGGGGGGAAAAGTGTAGGGGGTGAAGTGTCCGGACTGGAAGGGGGTGAAGTGTCCGGACTGGAAGGGGGGTGAAGTGTCCGGACTGGAAGGGGGTGAAGTGTCCGGACTGGAAGGGGGTGAAGTGTCCGGACCGGAAGGGGGTGAGAGTGTCGGGACCGGAAGGGGGTGAGAGTGTCGGGACCGGAAGGGGGTGAGAGTGTCGGGACCGGAAGGGGGTGAGAGTGTCGGGACCGGAAGGGGGTGAGAGTGTCGGGACCGGAAGGGGGTGAGAGTGTCGGGACCGGAAGGGGGTGAGAGTGTCGGGACCGGAAGGGGTGTGAGAGTGTCGGGACCGGAAGGGGGGTGAGAGTGTCGGGACCGGAAGGGGGTGAGAGTGTCGGGACCGGAAGGGGGTGAGAGTGTCGGGACCGGAAGGGGGTGAGAGTGTCGGGACCGGAAGGGGGTGAGAGTGTCGGGACCGGAAGGGGGTGAGAGTGTCGGGACCGGAAGGGGGTGAGAGTGTCGGGACCGGAAGGGGGTGAGAGTGTCGGGACCGGAAGGGGGTGAGAGTGTCGGGACCGGAAGGGGGTGAGAGTGTCGGGACCGGAAGGGGGTGAGAGTGTCGGGACCGGAAGGGGGTGAGAGTGTCGGGACCGGAAGGGGGTGAGAGTGTCGGGACCGGAAGGGGGTGAGAGTGTCGGGACCGGAAGGGGGTGAGAGTGTCGGGACCGGAAGGGGGGGTGAGAGTGTCGGGACTGGAAGGGGGGGAAAGTGTCCGGACTGGAAGTGGTTAAAGGTGGCCCTACAATGCGCAGTATTGTGATGTGAATGGACCTGTGGCTGCAGTAGCATCTGCCGGTTCCTTCACATTTGAAGAGCCTTTTTTTAGTAAACCCGATTCAGGCGGCCGTGCGGCCGCCCAGTCGCTTCTACATATAGTCAGCCATATGCAGGTTTGTGTGAGGACAGGGGTGCTGAAGGGTTACTCGGCTGTGGCAGCGCAGAGCACTAATGGGGGGAAGGTAGGAAGCAACATGCGTGCTGGGAAGTGGGGCGCTTATGGCATTTCACAGATCATGGCGTGTGTGAGGACTATAAAGAGAGACAACGTGAGACTTCAGTTGGGTTTTAGCCAACCAAAATGTAATGTTGGGTCCCAGATGCCGGTGCCTAAGGCTTGACCCATGACTTGGTGGCCTCCATAGGACGAGGTGGCCTCCATAGGACTTGGTGGCCTCCATAGGACTTGGTGGCCTCCATAGGACGAGGTGGCCTCCAAAGGACTAGGTGGCCTCCATAGGACTAGGTGGCCTCCATAGGACTTGGTGGCCTCCATAGGACGAGGTGGCCTCCATAGGACGAGGTGGCCTCCATAGGACTAGGTGGGCCTCTTCTGTCAGTAGACTGCCTATTCATTTCTATGGACGCTGCAAAGCCATTCGTTCTTCTCCTGCATTCCCCGCTGTCTGTGGTCGTGCTCTGTAGTTGTCAGTGTTTGAATGTCTTGTATCATCTAAGGCCTCGTTTACATGTGGTGTACCATAGCGTATGCCCGAGCGTGGCCTCTGTGCTAGGGGATGCTCATGCGTTCCGCGCAGGCAGTCCCATTCAAGCGAGTTGGGACTCAGCAGCCGCACAGACGCAGCTCCCAATTTTGGCATTGGTGTGAGTGCACGACCCTGACCGCAGACTGTGTACTCGGGGCCAGGCACCTCCATAGACGTCAAATTGGCAGCAGCGTCTGTGTCCCAATTGACTTGCATGGGGTGGCCTGGAACACCTTGCTGCCCCTTTTAGGGTAATCACGGCCCATGCAGGGGCATACTCTTTAGAGCGATCCTATATCAGGGGGTGGGCAACTGTGGCCCTCCAGCTGTTGGTGAGCTACAGGTCCCATCATGCCTCTGCCTTTTGCAATGCCTTATGGGACTTGTAGTTCTACAACAGCTGGAGGGCCACAGTTGCCCACCCCTGCTATAGATCAAGGGTCTCCAAACGTTCTCAACAAAAGGTCTGTTTATTCTTCAGAATTTAGAGGGCTGGACTGTGGCCAATAGGAGTGGAAAATATCTGGATATTGGTAACAATGCCTCATCATTGGTGTCAGTGGGAGGAATAGTGCCTCATCATTGGTGTCAGTGGGAGGAATATTGTCCCTTCATTGGTATCAGTGGGAGGAATAGTGCCTCATCATTGGTGTCAGTGGGAGGAAATAGTGCCCCATCATTGGTGTCAGTGGGAGGAATAGTGCCCCATCATTGGTGTCAGTGGGAGGAATAGTGCCCCATCATTGGTGTCAGTGGGAGGAATAGTGCCCCATCATTGGTGTCAGTGGGAGGAATAGTGCCCCATCATTGGTGTCAGTGGGAGGAATAGTGCCCCATCATTGGTATCAGTGGGAGGAATAGTGCCCATCATTGGTGTCAGTGGGAGGAATAGTGCCACATCATTGGTGTCAGTGGGAGGAATAGTGTCCCATCATTGGTATCAGTGGGAGGAATAGTGCTCCATCATTGGTATCAGTGGGGAGGAATAGTGCCCCATCATTGGTGTCAGTGGGAGGAATAGTGCCCCATCATTGGTGTCAGTGGGAGGAATAGTGCTTCATCATTGGTATCAGTGGGAGGAATAGTGCCCCGTCATTGGTATCAGTGGGAGGAATAGTGTCCCATCATTGGTGTCAGTGGGAGGAATAGTGCCCCATCATTGGTATCAGTGGGGGGGAATAGTGCTCCATCATTGGTGTCAGTGGGAGGAATAGTGCCCCATCATTGGTGTCAGTGGGAGGAATAGTGCCTCATCATTGGTGTCAGTGGGAGGAATAGTGCCTCATCATTGGTGTCAGTGGGAGGAATATTGTCCCTTCATTGGTATCAGTGGGAGGAATAGTGCCCCCATCATTGGTGTCAGTGGGAGGAATAGTGCCCCATCATTGGTGTCAGTGGGAGGAATAGTGCCCCATCATTGGTATCAGTGGGAGGAATAGTGCCCCATCATTGGTATCAGTGGAGGAATAGTGCCCCATCATTGGTGTCAGTGGGAGGAATAGTGTCCCGTCATTGGTGTCAGTGGGAGGAATATTGTCCCGTCATTGGTATCAGTGGGAGGAATAGTGCCCCATCATTGGTATCAGTGGGAGGAATAGTGCCCCATCATTGGTGTCAGTGGGAGGAATATTGTCCCGTCATTGGTATCAGTGGGAGGAATAGTGCCCCATCATTGGTGTCAGTGGGAGGAATAGTGCCCCATCATTGGTGTCAGTGAGAGGAATAGTGCCCCATCATTGGTATCCGTGGGAGGAATAGTGCCCCATCATTGGTATCAGTGGAGGAATAGTGCCCCATCATTGGTGTCAGTGGGAGGAATATTGTCCCGTCATTGGTATCAGTGGGAGGAATAGTGTCCCATCATTGGTGTCAGTGAGAGGAATAGTGCCCCATCATTGGCGTCAGTGGGAGGAATAGTGCCCCATCATTGGCGTCAGTGGGAGGGAATAGTGCCCCGTCGTTGGCGCCAGTGGCGGGAATAGTGCCCCTGTCGTTGGCGCCCGTGGGGGGGGGAATAGTGCCCGTCGGTGGCGCCCCGTGGGGAGGAATAGCGCCCCAAGGGCTGGGTTAAGTCAAGCAAAGGGCCGTAGTTTGGAGACCACTACTACAGACAAGCCGGCACCTCAGTACAATCCACAGGTATCCTTTATTCATTGGGAACAATACCTAAAATGCACAAAGGTCCATACATTTTGGCTGCTCGGCCATCGCCATGGCTGGGAAATGAGTCTGAAACGCGTTGACCTGTGTTTAGGTACGGTCACCCCTGAATAAAGGACATCTGTGGATTCTACCGAGGTTCTGGCTTTTCTATAGGATCGCACATGTGTTGGGTTTACATCGGCCTCCAGCCTGGAGGGAGAAGTACCATCTGCTTCAATATGCTGTAGAGGCCTTGAGCGATCCTATGTTGGGGGGGAAAATCCCATCAAGGCCTCCATAGCATATTGAAATGGATGGTGCTTCTACCTCCAGGCCAATGTAAGCCCAACTCATGATGGGATCCCCCCCCCCCCCCCCCCAACATAGGATCGTTCATGTGCTGGGTTTACATTGGCCTCCAGCCTGGAGGTAGAAGCACCATCCACTTCAATATGCTATGGAGGCCTTGATGGGATTTCCCCCCCCCCCCCAACATAGGATCGTTCATGTGTTGGGTTTAC